CATCGTTTGATTTTGATCCCAAATAGAGTCCGAGCTTTGATATTGCTGGACACATCTGGCTGTATTAATAACTCCTCTTTTTTATCCATTTCATGAAAAAAACATCTACGTCTCCGCTCATACCAGAAGACGATTTATTCTCAGAAGCAGCTATATGTTGCGAAATGCAAGTTATCAATTTTTTTTCTTTTCTTTTTTAAAAGTTCTCTTTACATGTCTCTGCATACTGTTCTGTCACCTGATTTAATTTAAATCGTTTCCCTAAAGCAAGTGCCATTCCAGCTACCGGTTTTTTTTGCAATATGATAAATGTGTGAATTTCAGAAGCTTTTCTTTTCATAAATTAATCGTGGGCGCTACCGAACCTAAAACAGCCATTTTTCCCCTTTGTAATAATTACAAGGTTTGCTGCTAGGCGAGGCATAATTGTAACAAATTCCTCCAAGAATCCAATTTCAGTTGGTCTCGATTTTTGTATCTTTAGCTTTTTAAAAAGGATATTAAGTTCCACTTTGCAAGAATTTTTTAACAGCTCTGTACTGAGAATTCCATCGCGTGGATGGATAGGAAATTTGCAGTTGCGTTCATTAAAACAAATATCAAATGCTATTATATTGGACGGAATGGAGGCTCTAGTCTGCCGGAGCCTTTACGGCTACGGTTACGGCAATTTGTGTGCGAAGGCCCTTAACGTTAGTTCTACCTTCTTCTAGAGTACGCCTTATTTCAGGTATCTTACACATTTGCAGGAATGCGGGCCAGTTTATTATCTGACCGTTTATCTAGATAATTTGGTAAAGATAACGCTTTTCTCATCCAACATGTAGATGAAGGTGATTGATATTTGCATTATCTAAATAGAGATAAGACGACGCAAAAATTTCATCTAGATGATCACCCACATAATTTTATTTAAATAACAACAGACACTGCGGAGGCGAGCCGCGCGCACGCGCGCGTGCGAGCGAACAATGCTCGCGCGCGTCCTAGTTGAAAACGCGTCTTTCCATATCGCCTCGTGAGATTACCGGGTGTCATCTTGCTTGATTTACGTCGATTAGAGAAGGCGGATTTTACTTGCGATCAGTAAATCAACGGTCGAGAGACCAAACCGCTCTCTAATTTAATTTAATTTCTTTTCTTTTACTCGCACGCCTGTTGACGATTATTTTCTTCAACATTCTCCTCGAGCAAGTCGTGTATTGTGATATATCACTTTTGACAGAAAGCTCCCGCCCCAATTTGCTCCAACCTTGCATGGAAAAGTGGCAGAAACTAATTTATTGGGAGAAAAAACAAAGTAGACAATTAGAAGCTCGTCAACGTAAACGCAAGGTCGCCTCTCTTCAGCTGTCCGTTCTTGTTCGCACGCCTCTGCGGATCTCAATTCTGATGACGTTTCAACCTCGGAGCTTCGCACGGCGCAGGAAACCACCGACGAGCGTGTGTCACGGACGTATCACTGAGCCGGCTTAGCGAACGAAGAGCGAAACGAGGACGTTATATCACCCTTAAATACGAGCCTTGAGCAAAGCATACTGAATGCAGGCGGACGAAACCCTTAAAAATGTCGGAATATACAACGCGTCTCCATAATCTATCCCGGAATGCGCTGCATTTCGCCTTCGTTGTTTCGGTCGAGTGCCAGTCGCTTGTGATTTCCCCGATACGTGTAGTATCCTCGATAAGTAAAATCGTAAATAAACTGTGGGTAAAAATTCTCGTAATACATCTCTGCTCCCTCAGGAGTAATCGACTGGCGATGTTGAAGCGAGAAGATACATGTCAAAAATTTTTGCAAGATACGTTGAAACAGTGAGATATAACAGATGTTATTTGTACGTAAAGTAACGTTTGCAATCGATCAATCAATAGATCTGTGAAGCAGCCCGAAAGTACTCTTCCTTCGTCCTAACAAGCAATAAGTAATCGTAAATTTAACGTGTCGTATCGTCAATCGACCTCTTTAATTCTGTCACGTTAATTTCACGGTTTTGTTGGACAGATCTGCTCGATCGATTGCAGGCGTTATTTAAGCGAAGATATCGTTTCTTCGCTTCAATGTGTTTCGCGAAAACTTGTGCTTTCGTACTTTTCTTCGGTTCATAAATCAGGCCGCGGCTTCGGCGAAGAAACAGGAGCTTTTAAACGTCTAACACTTTGTTGCGCGCGCGCGCGGTATTTCTTCTCCTCTTTTCTTTTTCACTTACGTATTGGATTGCGAGAGTATACACTTTCTCGAGCTGACATTCTTCGTGATGCGAGAAAAACGTTGGAGCATCTGCCGCTAAACGACTACATCCGTCTTCTCGCTGTCAGCTGCCTCTTTTTTTCGCGTTTCGTGGTTTTCCCGCGGTCGACCACACCTCCACCCCCTTCGTCGGGGGACTCCCGCTTCTTTCGTTCGAAGCCTTTAATTTGGCACGTGTTGCACTCTTGGCTATTGTTGGCATGATTGTCGGGTTGGCCGGTCGGTCGGCCGGCCGGTGCGCCCGTCTTCCTCCGCATCGTCGCCGATCTTTCGCATGGCGTGAGCGAAGTGTATGTATGGTGATAATGCGCGGTTCTCAGCTGTGCGTGGCACGCGTGTTGTTGCTGCTCCGTCGTCGCTTTTCGCCTATCTCAAGTCGTTACTCACTAAATATTATAATATACCGCAAGCGTGCGCTCCGCGCGGGCCGTTGTGAATATTGTTAATGCAATCGAGAATTGATTTTCCTCGGTCCTCGCTTGGTATTCATAGGCGAGGAGTAGCACGTCGTATTATATTCGCGCTGCCTATGAATACCAAAGACCGTCGGTCCAGGTGAATTTTCTTTTTTACGGTGAAGCTTTCAAACGATCGGCAATTGTCACTTACAGGAATCCCCGGATCTCACGCATATTCTTTTACACGGTCGTGAACGGTAAGAGCTTTCTCGTTCCCTTTCTCGCCTCATTCGATTTCCTCTTATATTTATATATTATATCAATATTATATATTATATTGTACCGGGTGTTTCAGACCACCCGGGTCACCCGGATTTTTTCGTTAACGCGACATTTTGGAGAAAAATATTTCGGACAAAAGTTGTAGGGCTTCTATAGGATCTATTTACTGATCTACTATGAATTTGACCTTGGGATAACCTTGAAAAGTTCCCGGTCAAGATCAACATAAAAATCTTAAATGGAAACCGCGATTTTTTATTACACCGTCTTTTTCCATCAATTAATTTGAACAACTTTTGTCTAAAATATTTCTTTCATTTGCCTAATATTTTTCCAGATATTGAAGGAAAACTTGATAACCTTTTCAATATTTAACTTACGATATCTCGCTAACTAGTTATCGGAAGAAAAAGTGGTACTAGACTTTTTTGCTCTATTTAGTCTCAAAAATATATTTTTACAGTAGCGTCCTGACTTTTGTTAACTTGCTGATTTTTGGAAATTTCAAAATCATCAAATTGATCAAATTCAGGGCGCTGTTAGAACAATATATTCTTGAGACTAAATAGAGCAAAAAAGTCTGGTACCACTTTTTTTCTTTTGACAAATAGTTGGCGAGATATCGTGAGTTAAGTATTGAAAAAGTTATCAAGCTTTCCTTAAATATCTCAAAAGATATTAGGTAAATAAAAAAATGTTTCAGACAAAAGTTGTTCAAATTAATTGGTGGAAAAAGATGGTGTAATAAAAAATCGCGGTTTCCATTTAAGATTTTTATGTTGATCTTGACTGGGAACTTTCCAAGGTTATCCCAAGGTCAAATTCACAGCGTCAGTAAATAGATCCTTTGAAGCCCTACAACTTTTGTCTGAAATATTTTTCTCTAAAATGTCGCGTTAACGAAAAAATCGGGTGACCCGGGTGGTCCGAAAACACCCGGTATATACAAGTACATGTAAAAATTATCGCCGGAACGGCGAAATATCTCGAAGACTGAGCATTTTAGAAAAAAATGATTCAGATAAAAGTTGAATGGTTTCAAGGGGAACGTAAAACAACTGTAACATTTTGTTTACAGATGGCGCCACTTTCGAGATATTTATTGATCATCGCTTTTCTTAAGTCCCAATCCCAATTTTTTATCATATCATCTTTTTCTACCAATCAATTTTAACAACTTTTGTCTGAGATATATCTTTTTATTTGCCTAATATTTTTCGAGATACTTAAGGAAAACTTGATGACCTTTTCAATATTGAACTTACGATATCTCGCTAATTATTTATCGGAAGAGAAAATAGTACTAGACTCTTTTACTCTCAAGTCTCAAGAATATATTGTTACAATAGCGCACTGACTTTTGTTAATTTGATGATTTTGAAATTTCCAAACCTCCTCGATAACGAAGAGTTATCAATTATTTATTTATTTATTTATTTATTTATTTATCAGTTACAATATTTCAATTATATATTTTTCGGTTAATATATATCAATTATATATTTTTCTCTGAAAATTTCTGCTCCTGTTTAATTTTTAATACACAACAACACGAACTTTTCTCATTTACCTAACAGTTTCATTTAAAATGCAACCGTAATCACACAAAATAGATCGTCCCGCAATAATCCGATTAATTAATCGCCCATATTTTTTTGGTATCTACGGCGGTCTATATTGATGGGAATGCGGATTGACAGAGCTGACGGGCGAAATAGTAGAATATCGAGGCGAGCAGCAGTTAATTACGTTAATTAATCGAGGTTTCGCTGTGTGTCCATATCTCGAGTGCGCCACATGTAATATAAATAAATATCGTACGACTCGTGTATGGTCCTCAGTGTCCGTCGAATCGCACGCATGACGATGATCAGAGAGAGAATGATTTTCCTCTGCGAGCCAATCGAGTTTCCCCGTTTGTTTGATCTGGCCCCGGTACGTCTTTCCAATAGAGTGTTCGTTATTGCCATTTGCATGCATCGATCGGAAAAGTGGGGGTGGCGGGTCGCTTTGATCCTCTCGCACGATTCCGCCCGTACCCTAATATTAAAACCTCGTGTCTTGTGCAGGAGCTGAAAGAGAGCTTCAATTACGGCCTCTTCTGCCCGCCGGTGAATGGAAAAGCCGGGAAATTCCTGGACGAGGAGCGCCGCCTCGGCGATTACCCCTTCAATGGACCTGTCGGCTACCTGGAGGTAAGTTCGCGCGCTTTCTTTTTCATGTCTTTTTCATTTTCTACGAGTTCTTCCGGCTGATCGCTCGATCGTCCGCAGTCTCGGAGGGCCGATAATACCCCGCGATCTAGTTTACTATTGTGGTCGTAAGAAAGACAATACCAGTGGGGAGGGAGAGGCAGGCAGATGTTTATTTCAGTCGGATAGTTCGAGTCGGCTTTAGCGCGCTGCAAAGGCTTCCCGTTTTAGTAACGGAGGAGTTAAGCAGCTTCCTCGCGTGCGCATTAAGGTTGTCAGAAGGTCCACTTCACGCCTGATAGGATCTGGTTACGTTTCTGAGCCGAGTAGCGAAGAGAAGATAGGAACACAACGCGTTGTTACGAAACACGCGACTGGTTAAAGCATGCCAGCCGCGGACAACGTGAATCGTCGTGTATCGTCGAAATGATTGGCAGCTTTCCGTGTCAGGAAGATTGCAATTACTGAGAATGGAAATCTCGGGTGGAAGCTGGTACCTCGAATAATATTTGTTTATTCGGAGAAACAAACGCATACACTGAAAACAAAATTGATTAAAAAGAACCGATATTCAGAGTATCTCAAATTTCGTTGCACGAAAGTGCGATTGAATGAAACTGAATAATACGAGTAAAAATCGAGTTGTGTATCAGCATCAAACGTAGGAATTTCAACTACAAAATTTAGTTGACAGAAACGGAATTGAAACATGCCTATATGTGATGGCCTGAGGTAATAGTCCTAATTATTATTAATTAATTATTACTAATAATTGTTATTAATTAATTATCTAACTAATTATTATTAATTATTAATTAATTATTAATACGTGGTACGAGTCTCAATCTCAAGTTAAACTTGGTTAATAAAAGCTGTACGTAATAAAATACGTGTGAAAAGTTTTTTACATATTCTTTAATTCTTTTATAATTATTATATTCCAAGATTACATATACAAGTGTTATTGATATTAAAAAAAATATAGAGCATATCATTTGCTACTTACACAATACATCTTACTTAATAAAATCAGTTTCTGAGGATAAAAATTTGTATTCCTTGAAAAAGTTTTATATGTCATGCACTCAACATGTTCTTTTATTGACTCGAAATTGTGTGTGTGTGTGTGTGTGTGTGTGTGTATCATATAACTCTTATAGGAATACAAAATAATTTGTTGACTCATAAGTGGAACTTGGAGGAAGATGGAGCAAAACGGGGAGAGAATCGAATAAAATCATGCAATCATGAGAAGACGATGCTCGCTCTTCTGCCGCGTCGCATCCGATTTCGAGCTAAAGACGCCGCGAAACGATATCGTCTTCGTAACGTAACGAGATGGAAAGGTCGCGAGGAGAGCGTATTACGTAATTAATCATCGCGACGATCCTCGCTGTCTTCGCTATAAATCACTCGGCGGTGCAGCGCGGCGGTGCGACGAATCCGCATGCATGCAGGCAGGCAGGCATGCAGGCATGCGTGCACGCGCAACTCGACCCACGATGACTGTTGAAACGGGGATTCGCGAAAAGCAAATAATCCGGTCCGGGTTAACGAGATCTGGATCCTAGCCCCGTGGTTTTCTTGCGTAACCGGTGCTAGTTCTCTCATCACCGTCTCCGGTCGAGCTCCTCTCATCGTCGTTGTGTCGTCGTCGTCGTCGTCGTCGTCGTCCTCCTCTTCCTCCTCCTCCTCCTCCTCCTCCTCCTCCTCCCCCTCCTCCTCCTCCTCCTCCTCCTCCTCCCCTCCCCCTCCTCCTCCTCCTCCTCCTCCTCCTCCTCCTCTTCGTCTTCGTCTTCGTCTTCGTCTTCGTCTTCTTCTGCTTCTTCGGCCGGTCCGGCCCCGATCGGTTCCACTGCTAGCTGCACGTCTCCGCTTCGTCGCGGGAGATTCACTTTCAGGGACGGCTGACTCATACAGCTTCTTTGACCATCCTTAAGCCGCATTCACCTCGCACGAGTTACAAATTACCGGGCTCGTCGGCGAAAAACTCGCGTTTAACGAACGCCTGTCAGCGGGATTCCCGCTGGACAATGGGGGTCCCGCGGTTCTAAAAACCGTAAGTCTGGATGTGTCGCAAAAGCCTGGCCGCAACACAATGTATTTTCACAATACGGGACTGCGTTCTCTTCTGAGGTAGATGTAGATGCTGGGCGCGTTCTTACGGGACAGCACGTTTCGCAAATATTTGCTCGCTGTTGCTGTCGATATCGGCCCGGCGCGGCAATCCGAAAGGTTGTGGAGGTTCGATACCGGGCCTGGTTGCGAAATTTCGCGAGGATCATCACGTGAGACCTCGTCGGTATCGGGTGGTTGCGCGGATGTAACAAGCCAGGTAACGCACCCAAAATGGAAGATTGAGATAATAACGGCAAAGTGGGAGCGGGACGAAACAAGACGAAATTGTGTTATTTCAACCACCGTCGCTCGCGCGGCGGAGCAGCAAACGAAATCGAAATCGACCGAGGGGGGAGAGGCTCTCTCAGGCTGAAGGACGAGCAAGTGAATAAGGGCTCGCGCGTACACATCGATCCGAGGAGACGTTATTATCGGAAATGAATACGAGATGAAGCTCTCGCATCCTCGAATCGCCGGGCGGCGTTTCACCGTAATGTGAACCCCTCCCGCCCCCTTCCCCGACAAAGCTCCCTTATTACAATAATCGATTTCCCCACTGTCAATCTCAGACTCGCTTTCGTCGTCACGAAAGCCGAGGCCGGGCGAGCGGGCTTTCAGGGCCGCTTTTCGATTCATCAGAAGGCCAGTTTCTTCGGGCCGCTTTCGGGGATCCATTCGTTTTGCGCGAGTTATGTATCGCCCCGGACAATTGACCCGCGCCGCGTCGTAGCGTGCGTGAAAGAAAAATGAAAATTGACGCTCGCGTGTCGGCGTGACGGCTGTCAGCCGGAGCGCTAAAGAATAATTAATTACCGAGCGAACGCCGCACACGCGTACGACAGCGAGCGGAATGAGCGCCCGCGACATGCGTAATGTTTGACGATCTACACTCCAGATTGGCACTCGAAATTATACATTCCTCTACGATCTCCCTCATCTCCCGCGTGGTTACACTTGAGCGGTTCAGCGTAAAAACTCACTTCGCAACTTTTTGTCTCGCTCGATATATATATATATATATATATGTATCGACTTCCACCGCTTTCTTTACAGAGTAAACGAACCCTCGCTCGTGATCGAGAATCTGATAGCGACGAGAGATAGGCTCCTCGCGCGCTTCTCAATTTTCATTTTTCATCCTCAAAACCCCCTCTCTCTCTCTCTCTCTCTCTCTCTCTCTCTCTCTCTCTCTCGTGATCCTCGGCTCTCCCCCCCCTCCCCCGACCTGCCTGCCGAGCTGCGAGAGCAGTCAATATCCGAGTTCGGATAAGCGACGACACCGTTAGGTACGTCGAGAGAGAGAAAGAGAGAGAGAGAGAGAGAGAGAGCTGCCGCATCGGTGCATTCGTGCGCGTCCATCGCGATAAAACCGGCCACGATGCGCGCGCGCGCGATGCGATCCACGCTCGCGCTGCACTTACGCATCCGGCGCTACCGCACTTACAGGTAAACCTCGGGAAACGTCAGACGCCGATTTGTTTCACCCAATTTTTTATACTTATTTTTTATGTCGAAATATGAAGAAATCTGTTGTGATTTTCAGCTTAAATTAATTTTTTTGAATTTTTTCGAAATTTTTCAGGGGTTCGAGGGTTCGTTTTGCACAGTACATTATTTCGTAAAAAAATATATATATATATATATATATATATCTGATTTGTTGAAACTTGCACACACATGTTTGTAGACGCCGATTATGAATCAGAATCATTTTGTAAGATTCCAAATGGCGGATCTAATATGGCTGACGTCATTGTTGAAAAAGTGTTCAGTTTTACGCTGCATTCGGCGTTGGGTAATCTTTCGGCTCACTATCCAGCAAACAAGCTCATTTTACTTCATAACGTCAGAATCCGGTAAAAAGTGAACAAGGAATGAACAAAAGAAGGAGAAAAGAAATTTTGCAGAAAAGTAAACTGTCGTTACCCAGCGTCGAACGTAGCGTAAAACTGAACACTTCTTCAACAATAACGTCAGCCATATTAGATCCGCCATTTTGAATTTTACAAAATGGTTCTGATTCATCATCGGCGACATGTGTGTGCAAGTTTCAACAAATCAAATATATATATATATTTCTAAGAAATATTGTTTTAAATATATATATATATATACATAAAATAGTGCTTGTACAAAATTTCGAAAAAATTGAAAACATTAATTTAAGCTAAACATTAATTTAAGCTAAATATGATAACAGATTTCTTCATATTTTGACATAAAAAATAACTATAAAAAGTTGGAAATAAATCGCCGTCTGACGTTTCCCGAGGTTTACTTGTCAGGCTGGCACACACAGTGGTCTCTCTCTCTCTCTCTCTCTCCCTGCCGCGCTCCACTATTGTTGCATACAATGCGGCCACACGGTCGATTGTCAGCGGTCGCCGAAAAGAACTCGCGCACTCGCGAGGGTGAGTCGACGGGAGGACGCGGCTGTTCGCGCGCGACGTCGTTCTTCCGCGGTCCGAGGGAATTTTATCGCTTGTCAAGAATTTGCGAAGCTGCTGCGCGCTACGTGGGGAAAAATACGCATCTGTTATCAGATCAATGGCAAAAATAGCAATTAAAGCCGGGTGTTAAGCGAATCCCAGAAACTGACCGTCGTGTGCGTCCCAGCATCGAGGTAGTAAATTTGTGCAGCTTAACGCTGCTAATAGTCGGTAATGTAACGCGCTCGCTTCGCTTAGCGACTACATAAATTAGCTGACGGTACAACCATTTAGCCAGGAGATATAATTATGAGATGAAGGGTATCGCAACTAGTCGCCGATAATGTATCTCTCACGTTCGCTTTTCTGAGATTTTGGTGAAAAATATTAATCTCGATGTTTGATTTATGATGTCATTTTAAAGTGTAGCGATATATTATACAAACAGCTTGTATCTCTTGGAACAGACAGCGTTATCTATTTGATCTTACTGGACATGTATTGGTTAGACAAAACGGTTATACGTGACAAAATCGATTCTACATTTCAGTGAATAATCAAGACGATCATCGGAGACGATCCGATCAGCGAACTAGGAAATTTCATTTAGCAAATTTCACTTGGCTTCTTAACTACTAGCTTTCGACCGAGGCAACTAGTTGCATTTTTATTCAGGAGTATGTAATACACAAATGTTGTCTAGAGTTCGATAAAATTTTGCAAAAAGAATTAATGAGTGTTTAAATGTGAGTGGTCAGCAATTTGAACATTTAATAAAGTGAAAAATATGAAAAACTGTAAAATCTTTTATTTAATTTATAGCTTTATCACTTTAGTTTGAATGCACTTTACTGTAAAGCTTAAATATTTTCAACTTTTGATAGAAGTATTGTTTAAAGAAATATTCCAGATAAAGTTTACTCGTTTCTACCCGCAAAATCCAAATGTGTAGTATTTTACAGGAGATCCCGTTTGAAAATACAAAGTTACCCCCCTTCAGAGGAGAGCGGGAGCGGACTCTTGTTTATATAGTTAGAAAGCCCTCTCGAATACATGAAACTTTGTCACGAACAATTTTTTGATACGACAAATGTTTTTAGAGCTTTTGAGTTGTCACACTTTACGTGGGCCGCCCTGTATAATATTGCAAACACTTCAATATATCGCTGAGAGAGAAAGGTAAGATAATCGAGAGAACCGTTTCTCCGTTAATTTCTCCCGCAGCATTTCCGCCCGACAAAAATTCCGTCGAAATTTAAAATACGCATGACGCGAGAGAAGCGGAAGGATACACAAAGGATGACAGCTTCAGATTGAATTTTCGATAAGGCGCGGAAAGAGAGAGAGAGAGAGAGAGGGGGGGGGGAGAGAGAGAGAGAGAGAGTGCGAGAGTCAGGTCCGATCTCCCGAAGGCGAAGTCCTGGTACTTTGTACACATCTTATGTCACGTCCGGTATATTGCGTATTCATCGATAACAGAGAAATACGCGTGACGAACGTATTCATAGTAGATTATAAGAAACGGCAATTATAGCCGTCTAGGTGAGACGATCCAGCGATGAGATATGCTTACCCGATAGCCATTCACGGCGCTCTCTCGCCGATGTATTTACATAAGTACTACCGCGCTATTGCGGATCTATACCGCCGACAAATTGCACGCGACGATCAGTCGGCTGCAAATGTCTGTATATCCCGCTTTCGTGCGTAATTTGCCATTTTGTTTCAGCCGCGTCGTATTACCGCCGTATTATTATATATATGTATATATATATATATATATATAGAAACACACGAGTCGCGGTAAAAATAATTCGCCGGCCGCGATTGAGGAGAATATAGTTTCTCCTTTTCTTTTTCTTTTTCTTTTTTTTTTTTTTTTTTTTTTTACTTCGACGAGATGAAAAGCGATGCGCCGCGGCCGCCGCCGTTATCTGCGAATATGATCATTCTCCGCTCGTCCGCTCGAACGAACGGCACATATCGTTTTCCGAGTGTGTAAATTATTATCTCGAAATAAATTGCAGCTCAAATACAAAAGGCGGGTGTACAAGATGCTGCATTTGGATGAGAAGCAGCTCAAGGCTATGCACACCAGGACGAATTTGCGAAGGTTACTGGATTACGTGGCGAGCAGTCAGGTCGAGAAGATCGCGAAGATGTGCAGCAAGGGCTTGGATCCTAATTTCCATTGTCAGGAGACGGGAGGTAATTTATATATATTTTTATATATATTTATATTTATATTACATTATATTGTTATATATATTTATATTTATATTTATATATATTATATATAATTTATATATATTTCATCGTAGATGCTTAATAAAATGACGCGTACAGGTTGTCTCATTTTAAATGAGCCAGGCAAATACTCGAAAAATATGAAAGATTTAGTATCTTTTATCAAGTTATCGAAATTTCCTTGAATATCTCAGAAAATATTGGGCGAATAAAAAAATGTTTCAGACAAAAGTTGTTCAAATTAATTGGTAGAAAAAGATGATGTAGTGAAAAATTGGGATTTCCATTTAAGAAAAATAGCGATCAGTGAATCAGTCTGGAAAGTAGCGCCATCTGATACGCACAAAATGATATAGTTGTTTTTTATGTCCTCTTTGAAACCATACAACTCTTGTCTGAAATGTTTCTTCATATCTTTCATATTTTTCGAGATTTTTCGATCCTGGCTCGTTTAAAACGGGACACCCTGTATAATTGCGAACGTCACAAGTGATGAGTTGCGAGTTTTTGTCGGTTTTAGCTCGTTAAGTTCCAAAACATTAAAATCTCTCGCAAAACAAGCCTATGCGATACCCGGACTCGGTTGTATTGATACTTCAAGATCTGATCTTGACAGTTTCTCACCACGCAGATAGAAAATTGCAAGATGTCTTTTACATTTTTATGTCTACAAAAAAGCAGTGAGAATTGCTCGGAGAGCAGTTAACAAAAGTTCGGTCTTCTTATCTGCGCTTTTAGAGACGCCGTTGACCTTGGCGACGACCTTAAAAAAGCCGTCCAAGGTCATAATTGCGTTGGTCAACGGCGGCGCTTTGCTGGACTATCGAACGAAGGAGGGTCTAACGGCGATGCACCGCGCCGTTGAAAGAAACAGCTTGGAGGCGGTGAAAACGCTCCTGGAGCTGGGCGCCAGTCCGAATTACAAGGACACGAAGGGTTTGACGCCGCTCTACTACAGCGTCATTTACAAGACCGATCCGATGCTCTGCGAAACGTTGCTTCATGATCACGCGACGATAGGAGCGCAAGATCTCCAGGGCTGGCAGGAAGTTCATCAGGTTTCGCTTGTTCTTTCTCGTAGATTATTTACTTTGGATAAGAAACTTCGATGTCGAGATAATGAAGAATTAATAGCGGCGAAGAGTAATAAGAGCCTTTCCTCGCTGACAGTCCTTCTGTACAAACGAACAGACTTCGATGAAATCTAATTGCGCAACTTATCTCCTTATCGTTTATTAATAAAAGTCGGATATTGAATTCTATTATTTGTGCTCTTCCGACTACGCGTCGGAATAGCTTTTCTTATAATTTGCCGCGTAGAAATTTCTCAGGATTTTTAGATTCCGATTAAAATATTATATCATGTTTGCCTTAAGAGTTGGTTGTCCGAGTTGCGTTATCAATTGAACGTTTCATATTTACCTCAAATATTGGATTCTCTGTTTCTAGAGTCTAAATAGAAATATTGTGAAAACTCGCGTTCTTTTTCAAACAACAACGTCGATATGATATCAAACGGGGAATCCCAATTTTACATCAACTGTCGTATACTCAATAGAACAATAAATAAACAGATAGGATATAAAAAAAAGTCTAATATAAAATGAAGGCCAAAAAAATTATTGACTTGTCCACTTAGAACCGCATATTTGAGACATTACAATTCTTGAAGCTGTGGATATAAATTTCAAAAGACTATATTAGATTTCAAGGAATTTTCCCCGCGGTTATTCGAATTCGCGTAGGTTTCTGGAAATTGAATTAGATTCCAAGAAATTTTCTACGCGAGCCTCGATGCTGATTGAATTAAGATTATATATTATTAAGGGGACTGGAGAGTCAGATTGCTGAAAATTGCTCGTGTTTGTTTTTGATAAAATTTTGTGACGAACTAAATAAATGTGCAAGAATGAAAATTTTAGGTATATTTATACCATACATGAAGAGTAGAAAAATTTTGTTTATTAACAAATACTCGTATAAATATACGATATATATAGCTGAAAATACTCTCCTCTTTTTTTCAAGTTGTCGTTTTTGCAGTAATATTTCGACTCTCGATGGACCGACCAGAACGAATTTTAGCTAAAAATCTTGAGGAGGCTTATCATTATCCAATGAACCACTAGAAAAAAAATCGAACAAAATTAACAAAATGGCAGCTATTATTAGGAAAAGATCCAAATTTTTCAGTTCCTTTACAATAAAAAATTAGTATCTCGAAATGAAATATTTTGACGTAATTGTCCATCTGGTCCATCTGAGAGCCAGATGAACAAATATTATTGCTTTAAAATTTCAAATCGATACGAAGCTCAGTTTCGGAGAAACTGCATTGCAAAAAGTTGAGCGATAAAATTTCGAGAGAAACGCGTTTAAAATCTAAATGGACGTATATTTATCCGTTAATAAACAAAAATTTTCTACTCTTCATATGTTATATAAATATATATCGAAAAATTTTCATTCTCGCACATTTATTTAGTTGGTCACAAAATATTATCAAGAAACAAGCACGATTTTTCAGTAGTTTCTGACCCCTTCCGTAATCCAGTCCCCTTAATTGAAGTATCAATTAAAAAAAAGAAAAGTTGTCAACCTTTTTTTTATATTAAAAAATCTCACGGCTCCGCTCGTGTAATGCAAAGCTCGTCTACGCGTGTAGTTTCATTCATGAATCTCCGGGCGCGTGCGCGCGTACATACGCACGCACGCACGGACGGAAAGGAATCAGCGCGCGTTGCAGCGCACGCGAGAGATCGCGAAGAATGCGGTTAACTTGGCCGGATGATTTCCGCGCCTAATACACGCTCCGTCCTCCGCAGGCATGTCGCAACAACTTAGTGCAGCATCTGGACCACCTGCTTTTCTACGGCGCTGACATGAACGCGCGCAACGCGTCCGGTAACACGCCGTTGCACGTGTGCGCGGTGAATAACACGGACGCCTCGTGCATACGTCAGCTACTCTTCAGGGGCGCGCAGAAGGACAGCTTGAACTACGCGAACCAAACGCCGTACCAAGTCGCCGTGATAGCCGGCAACATGGAGCTCGCCGAAGTCATCAAGAACTATCAGCCGGAGGAAGTCGGTGAGTTATGGACGTCACTAAATGTCAAAAATCGAGCTCTCGCTCGATGGCCGAGATGACCGAGGGAGAGAGCACGGGGGGGGGAGGGGGAGGAGGGAGTGAGAGAGGAACGCGCGGGGTTGCTCCGGTGGAGAGGGGCGGGGAGGGGAGGGGAGGGGGGATCCGGACGAGGGACTTGCTCTCGAGGAAGAGAGGTCGAGGCATGATGCTGCAAGAATAAACGACAGACGTTGACGGTCTCCTTCGTCTACCTCCCTCTGCGCGTTCTCTCTCTCTCTCTCTCTCTCTCTCTCTCTCTCTCTCTCTCTCTCTCTCTCTCTCTCTCTCTCTCCCTCTCTCGTCTCCGGACATTGTTCCGTCCGTTCTCGCGAATCTCCGCGCGCGCAACAACGACGATAACCAGCGTAGCCGGGGTATCTTCCTTCCGGGATCACGAATGGGACGTACCCTGCTTGGTGGAAGACGGATAAACCGTAATCTCATTATTCGCCGGGACTCTTTTCTATATTCGTTCGCCACACCTGCGCGCGCGCGCGCATCATCGACGTGACTCAGTTCGATTGGAATCCTTTGTTTATTAACGCGTGTACGCGCTCTTATCAGATAAACCCGAAATTCTTTCCCGCTCTCTTTCGGTATTACTCGGATATCGGAGTTTTAGTCCGATATGACGCGGCGGCAGATTTCGAGATCGTATCTCGGGGACGCTTAGCGCAGCAACTTATCGGAATAATTCATCGGGAGGCTTTAACGTGTCGTCTACGTGTCGCGCGTTATCGCCGATATCGCTCGTACGTTCTGTTCCTTAATGAAGATTAAGAAGCGCGATTGTTTGCCGAAGAAACAAGAAAAAATAGCACTCGGCCGCGAAGTGTGATGACGTAGTGACGAAGATCGCGATAACCGCCGCGCTTATCTGATAAGAGAGGAAGAAATCGTAACCTAGTTATATCGCGCAGGCATTTATTTATACGGCATGATTGGTCGAGCATGGCATGAGGCATGTGCACGTTGCTTTCCTTCTGTAAGTAGAGCTTGGCGTTAGCGAGTAGTTTCGACTGTGTGTAGCCATTTAGAAAGGGTGCCTCTGGAACTGTATATAATATATATATATATATGTATATATTATATATATATACACGAGACGCGCGTATTGTAAGTGTGACTGATACGTATCGTAATAAATGTGACTCTATATACCTGTGTCTGTGTACTGTGTGTGACGAGTACGTAAAGATTACAACCATATCATAGGACTTTTGGTGGTGATGGTCCGTGTATGGCGTCGAGTATATATTTGTGGTACCGAGAAGAAGTAACGACACAACCTTTTGATAGATTGCTTTCCAATAACTAATGGTACTGTATCTTTGGATAACTGTCGAATGAACCGGTGCTGCCAGAGGTCGCGGGGTCACACAGCCGAAAATTGGCCGATAAGTATAACATTTGCCAACGAGCAGAGGCCGCGAATTTTCTTTTTTTCTTATCTGATACTACGAAACAAAACGAAACGAACGAACACATCTCGGAACTTTCGGAACAGTGTGGGGCAAATTTCCGGAAACCACTCACGCTCAATCGCCGTAAATCTGATGCCAATAATTGTTCAAACGAGATATCACATATCGCAATTAATATTACGCTACATTGGCAGATTAATTTGCCAGGTTATATATTTATATGATGGAAGAAACGGATAGCTCTGCGTGTGCTAATTAAATTTAATCTAACCTAACTTGACTTAACCCCCATCGCGATGAGTAGAGTTGCTCTATCTTTGGATTTAGGAAAAAAGGAAAAGACAGCGAAATCTTTTCACACATTCAAATGGTGACAGATACATGTGATCGTGGTATGTATTTGCAAAAAAATAATTTAATATAACGCCATTTGAACTGTTTTGGTATTAAACTTCTTCGCCGGTGAAAATCCATTCAGGAGCACTAACTTGAGATCACTTGGAGTATCTTCGCCAAAATTCGTGTCACTAGGGCGCGCGGATGCTTTCCGGAAGTTCACCCATATTTAATAAAAAAAAAAGGAAGAAAAAATGAATTATATTTATAATACAATTATTCTTGATTCATACGTCGCATTTAACAATGAAGAAAGAAGCGCTTGATCGTCTCTTTCTCTCTTTCCGAGATAGGAAAATTTTTACTCCTCGATGAACGCGCACACATGATTTCAATACGCAACACGCAAAAATTCCATCCCGACGAACACAAATTATTTGTTGAACGCAATATCGAGCACATTCGCGCATACACAGTTATTGCGTCGCATTGTCATTTTCTCTGGCAGCATTGAACTTGCAAGAGTGTCTTGACTAGTAATGTTTGGTAGTTCGAGGTACGTTGTGAATCCACGTGGTCTCGCGGATCGTCGGAGTCCCTGGGGCCTAGGAATACGAGGAGATACGTTCCCCGTGAAACCCGACGACCCGGCGTCGACGACGTCGATCGTTTGTGCACATGACATATTCCGATGAGACTTACTACCCGCAATCTCGAGCACATTGTATCGCACAAAACGGATACAACGCAACGGGGATGGAGTCGTTATCCTTGCGTGTGCTTTCTACCGCTTTCCCGTTCTATATACAAGGTGTCCCGGAATTGACGGCTCGTGAGAACGCGTGGCGTTGCTCCTGACTCGAGGGAAGATTATTGTTTCTCGCTTCCTCCCCCTCCCCCTCCCCGGTGAATTCCCCGTTAAAGCCTCAAATTAAAATCCCATTAAGGTAAAGCTCCCCGCGGACGGGGAGCGAATGTTGAAAATGTCTCAGTATTTATTCGCATCTCTGAGACGAGCTTAACGCCGAGCAGAAAGCCTTTCATTTCCAACGGCTTACAGTTCGTAAACTGTTTTCCCTCTGCTGTTCGGTACTCTCGCTGACTCGTAACTCGAAGAGCAACGCCGCATTTTCACTTCCCGCTGGTCCCGGCACACCCTATACGAGTCAGCACCTGAAACGACAAGGAGCAGTTTCTGGTTGTCCGGGGTTGCCTGGGGAGAGCGGCCAATAACCGTCATCATTGCCATCCTGAAGTAACATTGTGCGTGCGTGCGTGCGTGCGTGCGTGCGTACGTGCGTGCGTGCTTGTTGCGACGGCGACCGCTTGTAAATCCGCTTTGCAAAAATCTCGCACGACGATCTTCCGTGACACCGGAAGATCGATCGTGGAACGGAGCCTCGGCCTCCCGTATTCCGAACGTAACTCTTCGCGTTGAATACGCGATGTAACGCGCGGATCAACATGCTCGCTCATCGACGAAACGCGGATAATGACGGCGTATAAATGTCGACGTGGTACTTAACGCGCGGCGATTAAGCGATTTGTTCGGTATCTGTTTCGGTCACGAAACAACGTTATCCCCCGCCCCCTCCCCTCCCCTGCCCACCCCCGACGACGCGTACTACGTGCGCTGACAGTACACGTGAACATCCATAACCCTAGACAGTACAAGCAGCACCCGATTTAGTCTTTAATGCTCGTGACTTCGTGAAATCTACCGATTTACGAGCGAAGACTCCATCATCCGGTAGACTTCATCAGGATTATGGTGTACTTGAAGATTTGCTCGACTACACGCGCAGGATGCTCGGCGATCAATGTGATTGGTGGACAGAGTGAAAATATTCCTCCTTAAAGAGCGAAATGGTCCCTTTGTTGGCAAGAAATACAGCCTTTGAAATAAGATATCTTGATAGCTAAGAAGTTTAAGACCGAGATTCTGTTAGAGTAAAGTACTGCGAAAAGAAGTCGAAGTCAAAAGTGAAGAATGAAAGAAGTGAAGGTTACTTAGCTGAATTTGATGAAATGAAGCGCCGCCCGCTACCGAAAGCGCTTTCCTCTCGACGGATTGCAATTCGAGGTTTCATTTCTGTCATTTCGCCTTCGTTAAGCAAGAGTCATTGTCGAAAGATCGACAAGAGGAGTATCGTCACGTGATCTAAATATATCCATCACTGATCGTCCTGTACCTTTCTTTCACGACGTTGTTTGTACAGTTTCACGTGGTGGCCGATCTTCTTGAGACAAAAGTGTTGTTCTACTGTTTAGGGTTCAGTGTTATCGGTTAGCTTGTGTTCTCGGCAATCGCGCGGGCCGCGCTTCTCGGTAGCAACGACTTGCGTTGCTCGACGCAATTTCACGGTTCACCCTTGAAGACTCGCGTCAACCGTGCCTCGTCTGCGAGAAGATGACGAGAGAGAGAGAGAGAGAGAGAGAAAGAGGGGGAGAGAGAGAGAGAGAGAGAGAGAGAAAGAGAGAGAAAGAGAGAGAGAAAGAAAGAAAGAGAGAAAGAGAGAGAGAGAGAGAGAGAGAGAGAGAGTGCGAGTCGCGCCCGCGTCCCCTACTTGTAAGGCTAAGTAATCCTTTCTTTACTTAACCTTGCAACCCTCGATTTTCCAGTACCGTTTAAAGGGCCGCCACGCTACAACCCGAAGCGGCGCTCGGTGGCCTTCGCCGGCACCTCGATGATGACGACGAGCTGCTCGGCGAGTAATCTGGGCACCCTCACCAGGATACCGTCCACTGAACAGCACGCCGCGGCGTCAAACGCCGCCGGCGCCGTCGCTGCTGGTACCCTGACCAGAACCGTCTCGGTGGAACAGTACGCGAGTATCACGAGAGTACCGTCCGCCGAGCAATACGCCACCGCGGCGAATCTGACCCGAGTTCCGTCCACGGAGCAACCGTACCCTCCACCACCTCCGTCGTCTACCAGCGGCGGCACGCTCGTCCGGGTCGCGTCCGAAGAGAACTACACGCAGCACGGTGTGCTGAGTAGAGCCTCCTCCGGCGAGCGATATGACCCGGCCGCCACCCTGACCAGAGTACCGTCCTCCTCCGAGCAGTACCCGATCAGTACCCTGACCAGAGTACCGTCCACGGAGCAGTACCCGGCCGTCGCGGCGAGCCTCAGCAGAGTACCGTCCACGGAACAATATCCCTCCAGTGGTAGCGTCGCGATCGTCGCAAACGTCGAGTCGGCCACCGCGAGCCATCACCATGGAAGCCTCGGCAGAGTACCGTCCGTAGAGTCGAGCAGTCGAAACGACTTACCGAGAATACCGTCCGAACAGAACGGCCACCGACTGACGTCGGAATACCAGAGCCCGAACTCCCTGAGAGATCCTAACGCGAGGTAAGCATAAGGCCGTCCGTCATCTCGCGATCCGCGCTGAGTCGCGAGCGAGCGAGCGAGATTGCCGTCGCCGCCGCCGCCGCCGCCGCCGCCGCCCCCGCCGTCGTCGTCGCCACTGCCAAGAGAGAGATAGAGCGCGGTAAGATCCATTCGTGTGGAGTAAAATAAAAAACGAAAAATCCAAAAAAGGAAAAGAGAGAACAAACACAGTCTCGCGCGCGCGCGCGCGCGCGCGAGAGGGAGGGAGCTCCTCTCTTCTTCCCCTCCTCCGAGTTTTCTTCTCCGAGCTTAGCAGTCCGGCACGGATGATTTACGCTCATCTCGCGTAAATCTCGTCGATGCCTCCTCGTCGCCGTCGCGAGGCCGAACGCCGAACGACGTTCCTTCCCGGTACACCCGCGCTCGTCCCGATGCTTCGTACTGACCACGTCGATTCGCACGTCGTATGCGCATGCGCGAAGCCGCGTCTCGCCGCTTGGTCAGCGCGAAGCACGACCGCCGGTGTACCCCTAAGAGTTACGCACCATTTCAAGATTACCGGCAGCCGCGGAGAATTATCAGAACTTAAGAATGGAGGGTCTGACGAGGCTGCAAGAGCATCGGCTCGAGTTGCAACATCGCCTCGATATGCACAGAACGATGGAGATGCCACCGTCGCCGTCGCCGAGCAGCAGAAGTTTAGCACCTTTCAGCTCGGCCAGCTCGAGCTTGTCCGAAGGCAGCAATCAACCGTCCGGCGAGGACTCGGCCAGCATCGTCACAGGTACACTATTCTCTCTCTCTCTCTCTCTCTCTCTCTCTCTCTCTCTCTCTCTCTCTCTCTCTCTCTCTCTCTCTTTTTCTCTCTCTCTCTCTCTCTCTTTTTCTCTCTCTCTCTCTCTCTCTCTCTCTCTCTCTCTCTCTATGCCCCTCCCTGCCCCCTCTCTGCGTCCGTTCTCTTCGATGGTAAGGGGACCAGAGACCGGAAATCTGCTCCTCGATGACCCATCAACTGCGGACACGAGCGCCGCCGCCGCCGCCGCCGCCGCCGCCGCCGTCGTCTAGAGAGAGTCAGCTGGTCAAAAGGTACGAGAGGAGACGGAACCTGCTCTGTCCCTATAATATAATATCGAATTGGTCGCGTTGCTTCTTCTTCGTGTCGCAATGAAACAGCCGAGAGAGTGCGTCCAATGACGGACGATTAATTATTAAATGACACCATCATCATCATCATCACCACCAAAAACCGACGAAGCGAAAGGTGGTCGAGAGACACTATGAGAGAGAGTTTGCTCGAACGTTGGCTTTGATGGTTCGTGCATGCTTCCATTTTTGGTGTCCCCGAGGATATTAGAGAATCCAAGTTGACTCCTCCCTGCCGCCCAGCGAGCTGGGCTGGACGGGATCTCGTGCAGGCAGGAGAGACAGACACGCATTAACGCTTAATCTCTTAGAGACCGCGCCCTTAGGATGCGGACGAATGCGTCGCGGCTGGCAACTTAGAGCTCTTTTTGCCGTCGTGTAGAACGCTCTTAGCCACACACAGAGCCGAGTTGAGTTGATGATTTTTTTCAAGTCGAACGCGCTGAGGTTTTGATTTAGCGTTAACAGCCAGTTAACTACTTCTATATTTTCTCTCTCTCTCTCTCTCTCTCTCTCTCTCTCTCTCTCTCTCTCTATCTCTATCTCTATCTCTATCTCTATCTTTCTTAAGGATTTCGATCATGCATGGCGTTTTATCGCTCGGTAAGGCGACGCAGGCCAAACGAAACATCGTGATGAGTAGTGGACCGTTGTCGATTTCTAGACAAGAGCCTCGGCGACACGGCGTCCGACGTGATCAGCGACAGTTCCGGAGTGGGAACTTCGCAGTCCGACACGACCAATTCGTTATCCATTCCTGGTACGACGGTAGTCTGTGTCGAAAGCTACAACAGCGGTATCACCGGGCATCTGACTATCAATCAAGGCGACATTCTCGAAGGTACCACCACACTAGGCAACTCGAACGCACCGCCCTCTCACACTCTTGTTTAGCCCTGTTGACGGTGATGTTGAACGTCGCTCTCGATGTGTTCCGTGACTTTCTACGTGTGTTCCCCGTAATTAACGTGATATATAGTCAGCGTCATGTGTAATCACATTCAGCCATCTGGGTGACGCTCGTCTCTCACCTCTGTCTCTCTTAATTTCTGTTTTGTAGGTAACGTCCAATATCTTTCTGATAGCAAGCGTGTTTTTGTTTCTTTATTTTTAACAGTCACCGGTGCTACCGACTGCGGCCTCCTGGAAGGGGTTCTGCGCGGCCAGGGCACTGGCCTCTTTCCTGCGCATTGCGTTCAGGAGGTTAGACTGCGTCACACGAATATACCGCTCGGCCCGCCGCAGCCCGCCAGGGACGGACGGAATAGAGTTTTGGGCCGCAGGGAATCGCAGCACAAGTACTTCGCTACCGCGCCCAGATTAAAGAAGCCGTAAGTCTTAGCCGATTGACCGTATTATGGAGAAACGCGCCGCTCTGACGCAAAAGCCTCAATGGGATATATCTTGTTATGAATCTACAGCGTCACGTCGGAACCCCGTACAGTTGTTCTTCATCGCTCGAGAAAAGGTTTCGGTTTCGTGTTGCGTGGTGCTAAGGCCACTTCACCACTCATGGAACTGACGCCGTCCGCTAGATACCCGGCGTTGCAGTATCTAGATGACGTCGATCAAGGAGGTGTGGCGGATCTAGCGGGTCTCCGGAAAGGAGATTTTCTTATTCAAGTGAGTTTCGCGGACATGCTTCTCGAGTTACCCCCCCCCCCAAATAATATACATGTATTCAACCCTCCTCCAACAGGGGCTCGGTATAAGGTTCATTATCAGGTTCATAATTTCTTTTCATCAAAATTAACAAAGCACTCTTCAAAGTGCTAACGTGTCAAATTTTGAGGCTGATACGTAGGTTGCTCCCTAAAAGTTTCCGTAAAATGGCGTTAGGCGTCGTGTCACTGACATCAACAAGACTGTAGATGAGTTTGTTAGGTTGTTGCTCGACTGGTTTTAATCGAATGGAAAGTGTATTGATTGCGACAGAGAGTATCTTCTACTAAAACAGTAAAGCCAATTTTAGAGAGTCAATTACACAGGGTCTGCCAAAAGTTCCGGGACGACTAATTATTTCAAAAAATAATGATTGTTTGAAACAATGTTTGAAACAAAAGTTGCAGGGCTTAAAAGAGCTATCAGATATTGTTTGATAATTGTTTGACCTTGGAATGACGTTGAGAAACGTTATCAAGCTCGACATAAAAATCTTAAATGGAAACTCCAATTTTTTATTACACCTTCTTTTTCCACCAATTAATTTGAACAACTTTTGTCTGAAACATTTTTTTCATTCGCCTAATATTTTCTGAGATATTTAAGGATAACTGGGTAAATTTTTTAATATTTAACTTACGATATCTCTCGCTTTTTGTCGGGATAAAAAGAAAATGGTACTAGACTTCTCTATTCTACTCGGTTTCAAGAATATATTTATTACAATAGCGCCCTGACTTTTGTTAATTTGATGATTTTGAAATTTCGAAAGATCGATAAATTAACAAAAAATAGAGCATTATTGTACCAATATATTCTTGAGATCAAATAGAATAGAAAAGTCTAGTACCATTTTTTTATCCTGACAAACGGTTAGCGAGATATCGTAAGTTAAATATTGAAAAAGTTACCAAGTTATTCTTAAATATCTAAAAAAATATTAGGCAAATAAAAAAATGTTTCAGACAAAAGTTGTTCAAATTAATTGGTGGAAAAGGACGGTGTAATAAGAAATTGGAGTCTCCATTTAAGATTTTTATGTCGGCCTTGATAACGTTTCTCAAGGTCATTCCAAAGTCAAACAATTATCAATATCTGATAGCTTTTTTAAGCCCTACAACTTTTGTTTCAAACATTGTTTTAAGTTTCAAACATTATTTTTTGGAATAATCAACCGTTCCGGAAGCGAAAGACCCGGGTTCGATTCCCGGTCTAGCGACTACCGCGCTCTCGATATTTTTCTCTCCTCGGAACGAAAAATGAGATGCAGGTCCCGAACGCACGGCGTCCCGTCGCCACCTAGTACGCCCTCCTTCTTTCATGGTTGGAGTCTTTTGGCAGACTCTGTATGTTCCTGTGCGATTTTGCGGAAACTTTCCGAGCAACCTACGTATAACACTAAACACTCGAGAAATGAGCCTGTAATTGATAAAACAATATAGCATCGTCTTCATATACACTTAACAAAATTTCTCCGTTGCCTGCACTGCGTTTTTTTCCCCCTTCGCTGTAGCAGAAAAACGTCACATATCGAAAATATGTCTTTATTCTCCATCTTCAGAACTCGGTAACGATGCAAAGTCAACTGAGATTTCGATCAAACATTTACTAAATTAACTAAATAAGCATTGAAATGTCACTTTTCAAGAATGATACATATGTATCGTAATATTTCACTTTGACAGTTTATGCAACGTTCATAGAGAGACATATGTTGAAACGTCATACAAACTTCTCTCCGATAACCCCCAATAATAATATTTATATTTAATATATTTTTATATATTAATAGGATATTTCACAATTTATATTCCCCTCCTTCAAGAGCATTTTTTTTTTAACAATTTGACAAAATACAACTTCTTCTACCTCCTCAAGTAAGTCGTGTTCTCACGCAAATTTTGCAGATCAACGGCGAGGACGTGACAACGGCCTCCCACGAACGCGTGGTCGATTTGATCAGGAAGTCGGGAGAGTTGGTGCGAATGACCGTGGTTTCGCCGGTGATCAGTCTTCCGAACTCCCAGTCGGCGGCCGCGTTGCCAACTAGTCAACCCATCCAGAGACAGTATGCAACTTTACCACGCAAGGGTAATAACAGCGTGGTGATCGGTGGTACGCTTGGCAGATCTCCAGCTCCCGTACCACCGCGAAGGGACCCGAAGACCACGTTAAGCGTGGGTCGCGCGAGAGCGCGATCGATGGTCGCGGGATTAGGTAATAAATTAGACCGAGCCTTGCCAAGAGAGACTGATATGCACGATATTCCGGGTATAACGATCGTCCTCCGTCGTGTATCCTTGTTCGCAGAAGGGGGCGGCGAGAGAGACGATCGCGACGAGATTGCGTCGACGGGCGCGAAGTCGAGCAGCGCAGAGTCGATCCACCTACCGCAACAGCCATCAACCGGACCAAATACTGGTCAAAATACACCGGTACAACCGCGAACGGCCAGTATCCGATCTAGGCCGACCTCCAGCAGGATCACTGCCGCAGAACTCGAAGTAACTATATTTACAGCTCTTCCGTTCTCGACAGCCCAGTGCTACTATTGTCCTCTTGCTCGATCACTGAATCCGTGCGCTCGTTGTGAACCTATTTGAATGGCATCTGCACGTGATGATGACCGAGGCTTGAGCTTTGTCCTTTAATTTCTCTTCCAGGAACTGTTTCAGCGGCAGCAGGGTAGCGCCGGCAATCAGTACAGCTCGTCCATGATGAGCTCTCACTTTCAGACCGGTCAGTCTACCAAGTCGCATCCGTCGTCGCCCGCCAAGACCGGCAGGGTGTACGCGAGCGTGGCGGAGATGAAGCGCAAGGGCAAAGTAAGGATATGACGGCAATCTCAAAGTTACGAGCGAGCTCGCACACTCGCGTGCTCTCGCGTCGCTCACTCGGTTTCTTGACCGATTCTCTTAATGTTCTCCCTTTAGTAGAATAAGCCCCTCGGCAAAAGCGAAAGCTGCTCTAGCAAATGAATGTTAACGTATCTGTTTGTTCGTTTTATTCAGTAGTAGTATTTTATCAAGCTCTAACGACCCCCTTAGATACTTTTGATATCAAACCCTTACTCTCCAATACACATTTCTCTCTCTCTCTCTCTCTCGCTCTCTTTGCTCGTGTTTTGTATCGGTAGCAATCGGTTAACACTTGTGGAGTAAGGATAACCCCCTTTAGAAAAGTCTACCAGCGTCGCCTGGCGTTCGCCCCTTCGGTGAATCCTTCTCTCTGGGCAATGGTAACGGTGGTCGTTTTTTTTTGCATGTGTGTTATAGTTTGCGCGCAAGCCGGTGCGAGTGCACAACAAGGGGCGTTCCTGGTGCGGGCGAGACGACGAGGACTACTACTTATATTACTGATCGAAAATACTTTGTTTCTAGCTCGCCCGTGGCTTGCATGATTTCAGGTGACTAAGCCATTTGCTAACGAAAAAGAAACGAAAGTGATCTGACGTCCGTGAGGACGCCAGGTGCCACCTCTGTAGCTTCGTGTTCACGCTTCGTATTGTTTACGCCTCCTGATTGACAATTGCGCATTTGTTTGCGAGATCCCTCAGTTCCTTATTCTCCGCTCTTCGGGATCGGTTCTAAGCATGGAAGGCCGATAGTAACGATAGAACCATCTGTTCTCCTTGGTCTCCTGTGCTCCTCGTTTTCTACAGCGTTAACATCTTATTAGCGTCTCACGCTGAGAGACAGTAATGGTAGTGGATTATCAGTCATTAGTTACACACACACACACACACACACACACACATACAGTAGCTTCGAGTTCGCGCTTAGCAGGATTTAAAAACGCTTCGTCCTCGTACCATATTTTCTCCCATTTCCCTGCTCCCATTTCGTTATTTCACCTTCGTCCATTTCACCAGCTCACACCAGTTCTAGTAAATCGCAGTTCCAATTACAATCTTCACGCTCCGAATTTTTTCGATTTAGCAAGGCGGCGATATATCACTTGGCAAGTTGCACCTTGTACGAGCCTCTGTGTCCTTACGTTTGCAGTCGCACTCGAGAGTACGCTTCTTCGGTGGCTTGGGCGGCGGTTCCGACCTTCATAGAGACTTCCACAGCACGCCTGATCTTAATGTGCAAGTGCAATCGTCGTCCCTCCTAGCTCCTAAGGGACACAGAAGCCAGGAGGACGTGAATGCTTTAAACGGTAGAAACGGGCTTCCACCGCCGAATCATCCGCCACCACCTCCACCGGTCGGTCAAGTCGTCAAGGTGAATGTCGGTGCCAACGTGCCAGACGTTGTTACACCGGCTTCCGTTTACGATAATATGGCACACATTCAGCAAGTTAAAGGTAAAAATTATCCCGTAACTCTTTTTGCTATTCTGCTCTCGTCTCTCTCTCTCTCTCTCTCTCTCTCTTTCTCAATTGGACATCGTCATATTCGGTACTTGTAGAACTAGCGGCTGCCACGGTCGAGGGTGTTTACGGCGTGATGTCGAGTTTCCGACCGTCGAACAGTGCGAAGCTGTACGCCTCACCGGAGGACATGAAGACCGTCGGATACCGTTCACGCAGTCTACCGGCGACTCGCTCGCACATTAGGAAGTCCCACAGCCTCCGTGCGCCCAATACGACGTTCAAGCCGCCCGGCAGTCAACAGGCGTTGAACAACAACGTGGTGGCTAACAGTTGTGCCAACGGGAACACCAACAATTCAACGAACAATCAATACGCGCAGCCGCTGAAGACCAACAGAAGTCACAGCACGGTCGGTATTCGCGAGCGCAAGAAGAAGAGCGTGAGCGCTAGCTCGTCCGTGACGAATCTCTCGTCGATCGCGTCGCCCGGCGCCAACGGCGGACCCGCGCCGCCTACTTCGGCGCCGCCGATCCCTGAGCCGGATTACAGCTTGTCCGAGTCGGAAAATGACGACGACGAGGGCGAGGACGAGACGGACGAGGACGGTGAGTCAGAAATCGCGAAGGAGCTGGAGAAGGCGGCGGCACGGGAGAAACTGGAAGCGACGCGGGAGACATCGGGCAACTCCAACACGTCCGGCTCGAGCTCGTCGGGTAGTGGCTCGTTGCCGCATTCGTTCAGCGTCGAGGAGATTCAAAAGGTGCGCACGCAGCTTAAGTCCTCCAAGAGTCATCCGAACGACTTTCTGCTGCAACAGACGCAACAGTCTCTCGCCGAGGATGGCGACAATAGCTCGAGCGGCGTCAGTTCCGACCAGGATGTACCGGTGGGTCCGCCCATGGGTTTCGACGATACCGCCAATCTACGAAATCTCGCCAATGAGAGCAATCAGCATCCGGGCGCGACCCTGATGGCTGCCGGCCCAATGGAGAAAGAGGGCAGTAATCCCAAGATTCGACCAGGTTACGGCGGCAGCGGTCTGTTGACTAGGCACGCGGTCAGTCTGGCCCAGCTGCCGCCGCCGATCGAGGCCGATGCCGAGGAACAGAACAACGATTTGTTCGTGCCACCACCGCCAGAATTCAACGCCGGTCCGTCCGCCAGCGGTCAAGATGAAGTGGTGTTTGCACCGCCGCCACAATTCTGCGATAACCGGCAACAGCAGCAGCAGCAGCAGCAGCAGCACCAACAACAACAACAACAACAACAACAACAGCCGCAGCAGCAGCAGCAGCAGCAGCAACAACTGCAGCAGCAGCAGCAGCAACAGCAACAACTGCAGCAGCAGCAACAGCAGCAGCAGCAGCAGCAGCAACAGACTCCGCAGAACCGCGTAAAGATAATCGGCGCGATACCCAAAGTCGTCGGGAACCAAGTGAAAGCGTCGTCGGGTGGCGGACGGTTGCAGTAAATGAAGGAGAAAACGGGCGCTGATTTACACAACGCATGCGGATTCACTCGTGTCTCCTCGACGAGGAGAGGAGTCGCGAGTTTACAACATGTAAACGGTAGATCGCGATTTCAGAGTCAATATATTTAGAGGCTTCCCGCCTTCGGTAGTGATTGCCGTGCGCATCGAGCTCTTGAACTGTTGCCAACGGTCGATTCAGTGCGAACGAAGTCGGCGTTCCGCCACGATACGCGGACACGCTGCCGTATTTAAAAGATAAAACGCGGTCACTTTTGGACAACCTCTCGCCGAGTAAGTCATATTATAATCTTCGAGCGTGTAGAAACCGTAGCCGAGCAATGGAGGAGATATATATTCGAGCGCGTTTTTATTATCGTAAGTCCACGAGTGTGAACGTATGTCCGATTCGCGTTTGCACCGCAGTAGAGGGTTGTTTGTAGCGCACGAGCGCACCACGATCGACCGATCGATTAATCCTAAGTCGTCCATCACTTCCTCCTCCCTGCGAGTCGTCGACAGATCCGCAAGCTGATTCGCTGCGTCGTCAAGAGCGGCCTAAGGGCAAGAGAAAATAAGTAAGAGAAGAGGAAAGCGGCGAGCAAAAATCAATTGTCATTATTATCCGAGTCAGGAGACGAAGAACGAAGTAGAAAGGGGGAGAGCGAGAGAGAGAGAGAGAGAGAGAGAGAGGGGAGAGGGGAGAGAAAGAAAAAAAATGTCCGATGCGTGCGTGAGTCGCGACGTGTGAATGTGCGATGCATATCGGTTGGTTTTTCCACATTTCTATCGAACTAGGAGGTGTGTTTAATACTTTTACACGACGACGTCACTCTGCGTCACTTTGCGCACGAGTCCCAATAGTTGAAACCGTCGAGTATTGCAGTTACGCACGGTCGCCTTTAAACCGATTTTAAGCGAGCATTGCGGCAGTCTCGCTCACTCTCGATCCCCATCACCGTCCTTCGCCAGCGAAGTCCCGATCATGATGACTCTGACGATTACGCGACAATGGTCATGTAACACGAATTAGTTGTTAATTGAACACGCGCGGATTTACGTTTCGACTAGCGTCTTTCTTCTCACACGTGTCTAGACACTCTGCTCAAATGCCTAATCACAAAGCTCTACTCGCGAAGTCATTAGAGATTCTTCCTAGTTTGTAATTGCAAATATTATTAGTATTATTATATTATTTTACTATATACATATATATATATATATATTATATATATTATATTATATTATGATTATTAATATTATATATATATATATATATATATATATATTACCGCGCTATTACAATTATATAGCGACTACGAGATGCTGCACTAACCGAGCCCTCCCTTGTGTGCAACGTAGTCGCGTCGTGCAAACACGTGCAGCAATATACTTGGTTAACGCACCATCGCTACCTTCCCAGCCTGTATAAAATAAATCGTATTTCTTCCATCCACGTGATGCTCCGTTGAGCCGGGAGACGTTGAAGATTTTCGTAAGCGCGCATTCTTGCTGAGTGAGTTCGAGAGCGCGCCGTGCTCCTCGCTCGATCGGGATTATCAGTGAGAGATCGGTTTCTCCGCTCCGGTTCCGTACCGACACGATCGCAATCGAATTCTCGAGCTCCCGTGTGAGTCCGCGAGTCAAAATCCCCCGCGCCAGTCAATAATCGACTGTTCCCGACATGTACATACGCGTGTTACGTCGTGACTCGCTGATAAAACAAAATCGCCGTGCAGATGCAACTGCATTCTCGCGTCCGAGAAGGACGCAACGAAGGATCTCGCGGCTCTCGGCGACAATGCTACATATTGTAAATATTATACGCTATATTGAGTAACGTTGCAAGTGTCCCCTCGAGTATCCTCTATAATTACGAACGATTATCTCATCTCACATTGCGTTTCACCGCATTCACTATTGTAGACATAAGCGGCCATTCCTCCTGATCGTCATTTTCGTGCATCTTCCTGCGAATCTTAAGGAGAAAAAACAATCATGTTTCGTGCGACGACATGTGCGAGCGCGTGTAAGTCGCCGCGTAATTTCTCAAGAAGCCGAGTGAGAAGAGCCGAGTCAGTACCGTAGGCGGAAATACGTTCTCAAATGTTCCTCCTGTATATTTCGTCGTCGTTTTTTATGTAAGTACTCATCAGGATCCGGCACGGCGTGAATATCGCGAGACGTCTCTCGACGTATAAAAAGCCATTGCGTTTAAAATTGCAATGTTTCTCCGTCGTATCTTATTGTCTAAGTTCTCCTTGTATAAAAACACAACGGCCTCTCTTTTACATGTCTCATCTGATTTAATTTTATGACGCAACTCAAGGAACTCTCTTGTGTTTCTCCGTAACAATTAATCGCGTGTAAGTATCTTATTTTCTTAGCGACAAGTGCAACGAATGCAACAATCGAAGCGTGTTCAACGAATATCGGAAGATATTCACCGGATATTCACGTCGTGTTGGATCACGCATCGTTCGCAGGATTATTCACAGCGCGATCCGCGAGCTCTCGTCAGGTCAGTAAAATGAAAAAAGAAAATACACGCGCGCGTGCGTCATGACAGCTCGTACTATGTAGAAACAAGAGATCAATCAGGAGGCGGGGCTTTATTTTTCTTTCCCGTGCACGTGGCACGCGCGGTCTACGTGATTCCCGGTAGCGCATGCCGAATGCGGTCGATATATTATATATAATTACGACATTCCTGCCAAAAGTAATACACACACACACACGCACGCACGCACGCACGCTCACATGCGCACACGCGCGCTCGCACATACACACAAATAGTAATCTTATAATATATCAAAATTTTTAGGAGAGAAAGACAGAATGTGTGTGTGTGTGTGTGTGTGTGTGTGTGTGTGTGTGTGGTGTGTGTGTGTGTGTGTGTGTGTGCGTGCGTGCGTGCGTACGTGCGTGCGTGCGTGCGTGCGTGCGTGCGTGAGTGTGAATGTGTGCGCGCGTGTGCGTGTGAGAGAAAGTAACGATGAGGAGAGGAAAGGGATCTGAGAAGGACAAGAAAGAGAGTGAGTGAGGGAGAGAGAGAGAGAGAGAGAGAGAGAGAGAGAGAGAGAGAGAGAGAGAGAGAGAAAAAGTTAACGTTACATTTAGAGAAAAAGTTACGTGCATTTTGTGTAAGGATATACTTTGTAATTTATTTGTTCTCTCCCGTCCCCGTCCCTTCTCCTCCTTAACATTGTTGGCACGGATGATTGAAAGATCGGCGATCTCGGGATTAGCCGCGAAAATCGCTTAGCGATTCAGCATCGATAATAGTCCTGACGAAAGAGAAGAGCACGGAGGTCGCCGCTGCGTGCGTACACGTACGAATTTAACTCTTTCCTGTTAAAACATACCAGTAAAGTATTTATATATGTATAGTATATGTATATATACAGGCTGTTGCGCCGCGTAACGAGGATTAATTGGCTGCGGCGGGAGATCCGTCGAAGAGAAGGGCAGAGGGTTGAAAGAGAGAGAGAGAGAGAGAGAGGAAGGTGACGACACTCTCTCCGACGAAATACTCATAAAAATGCTCGTAATCGACGGCGATATAAGGACATTAGAGAGGTTCGAGGAATTCAACACGTAACGCAACTTGAAATTCCGCATTTCGTTTCTTTTTATTTGACGCTCCTGCCGGATTAATTAAGTTAATTCTTACTGGGTAATCATGCGCCGGGACTCCCGTTAGCGATTAATCCGCGCCTCGCGGGTGCGTGACGTGTGTGCGGTGTATAACTGCGTGAGGTGGATGTGTACCAGTGGCAGGTGACGCCGATTATGATCCTCCCTCGGGATCACAATTGAGATTTACTTGCCTCGCCTTTCGTGAATTTCCATCCTGATTGTCACGTCAAGTAACATCGTATGATTCAGTTGATCAATGATCGAGGGTGATTGAATCGGAAAAATATAAGAACGTCGCGCGCCAGCGTATCTTGCGTTCATTGCATGCGTCTCATTGATTGGAAAGCTTCAAAAATTGGAAGTCCGGACTGTTAAGCAAATCTCTCGTCGAGGAAAGATCGAACGAGCGAATTTCGGGAGGATCAGAAACTGTTACTCGTACACGCGTTCCTCGCGACAGCACTCTCTGTACACGCTCCGACGTAAAAGAATTACGCGTGCCAAGGAGCCATTGAGAGCCGCGACTCGATAAACGTATTGCGACCGACTGAATTTTCCCCGAACCACCTGTTTATTATCTCCTAGCGTTTCCGCGTTTAATTTCTCCTCGCCCGCCTTCTCATCGCCATCCTCCTCTTCATTCATCCTTCGTCTCACTCTTCATACTTCAGTTATTACTATTATTCATATTATTATCAGGCAATTACTATTAGTATTTTGTATTATAGGTATTGTATTGTAAATTGCAAGGTACGTGCAATGTTTCGACGATGAATAATAATCGATCATGTTCAACTAAATGGGATTACGACTTTATCGTCATTTATATATTAATGTAGGTATATTACCTCTTTCTTTTAATCTTTAAGATTTCTGGTTTCTCAGTTGCAATTATACTGATTGATGCTGTAGAAAACGACAGAACATCCAAAAGTTTTGCGGAATATATTGAAATAAAAAAATATGTCCATATAACGATATTTGTAATTAATTAAGTACATTTGTAAAATATTTTCAAATCCTTCCCTTTGCTCTAATAATTTATAGATAGCCATAAAATTAACGTTTAACTAATAACTATAAGATTAACATAACATTTAACTAATAATAATTAATTACATGGCTATTTAATGATTATCGCAACCAAAAGGAAATGTTCTCGGAATATTTTATAATTGAGTAAATATGCTCAGTCGATCAAAATTGTCATTTTATGGATGTATCTTTTTATTTCAACACATTTCCCATGAATTTCAACGTTCTTAATGTCATTAATCAAAATGACCGCGGCTGTTATTATTTAGATCTAAATAACCTGATACATAAAAATGCATCATAAATAGAACATTTAGATCTTTGTGTTACATATCTTAAATAGATCATAGAAGTGCTTTTATTGCTAATATTTAGTGGTACATGTAACATACATTATGTTACTTGCTACATAACTGGTTACTTCAAGGTCTCTACTGTTATGTATTTAAAATATATATGTCACATTACTGTGTTTGTGCTGGGATGATTATATGCATGATTATATCTCAGTAAAGCAATACTAGTAACTGTTACATATGTAATATAACATATCTATGACTCAAGATACATAACAAATATGGCAAATGTAATCTTTTAGCAATACAATGTATGTTATATTACTGATACTTGTAGTTTACTGAGTATCAGGTATGTCAGACTGTTAGAAGGTATAAAGTGAAAAAGTACTTGGAAATTTTTGCAGGTAAGTATATATAGTGAAATTTTTTTATCGTTTGAACTTTCATATCTTATTTTTGATTTTTTAATTTAATTGTATATACAACTACATTAATGTTATATATCAGTCGTTGCATATCAAATGTTGTTATATTATTTAATGTTTGTTTTTTCAATAATAATATATTATAATATTCTATAAACATTATAAGAATATATTATGTAAGTATAAGTCATAAGAACATCATCGGATCCATTAGAATCGCCACATGCCGCTCAATCATCAATTCAAATAATGTGTCGCACGGTCAGGATATTGGATGTGATCGTTCGCACCGCTTGAGATCGAAATTGTCCGGAAGGAAGATACGCAACGTTCGGTGTGTATGTGTATGTATATGTGTATTCGAGTATCGCGAAATATAAGAAAATTTAGAATTTTTTTTTTTTAATATATACGCACATTAGCATTCTTTTAGTTACTAATTCGACATAAAACAATGAAAACACGGTTGAAGATATGTCTATATTTATATGCTTTTGATGTCGTCATAATA